TGAACCATTTGAACAGATGTTGCTTGTAAAGACATACGGACAGCTATGGAAACAACAGTAACATCTATTAATAATTTTAACCAAAAGCTTACGAAAAACCAATAGACTTCTTCCAAGTCTATTGCACTTATGGATTCTCGTAAACTTATCTTATCAGGCTCTAAACACGATGAAAAGTGAAGGCAAACCAGTTCTAGGTTAACCAAAAGTCTACGGAACGATCGTGAGCAGTGATGGACAACGAAAGCAAAAGAAATGGAAAAGGCAGCGGCTACAAGCAACACCAGACAACTCTTCATACTAACAAAAGAAACCGGAATCAAGAATTCAATTGCAAGCGAGACAATCTCGGAAAAAGACAAAACTCTTATCTGCTCTCAACCCAGACGTTTAGAACGATAGGCGTAACACTCTAGAGAACAGTTTAGCTGGCCTGCCGCTACCCACCATCTCCAAACAATCTGAATGGAACATTAAAGTTGGTTCCCCGACTTCATTGAAGTTCAAATTGCCATAGCTAATCTGAAACGAGGAAGAGCAGCTGGTCTAAATGGATTAACTACAGAAGTCTTTAAGTATGGTGGTCCAGTTTAAGCGATTAGGTTGACTAATATTTTAGCTAAAATCTGGGAGTTGGACATAATCCCATCTTACTGGTCACAATCATTGATGATTGTCCCAATATATAAGAAGGGGTCAAAATCATCCTGCAGTAGCCATAGAGGGATTAGTTTGACTAACATAGCATATAAAATACTAGCCTCAATAACTAAGACTCGTGAACTACAAACACGAGAAAATCAGGCTGGCTTCAGACTTGGTTGTGGCTGTATCGACCACATTTGTCGGGTTTTAGAACACAGGCATGCTTATCGACGTCAGACAATGATGGTTTTTCTTGACTTCAAAGCAGCATTTCATTCTGTAGACTGAGAGGTTCTGTGGCAGTGCCTGTCATTGAAAGGTGTACCTGAGAAGTACATAAACCTTGTGAATGCTATTTACTCGAACATTACCAGTCGAGTGAGAGCTTATGGAGGATTGTCATCTGATTTTAAAACCTCAAGTGGTGTCCGACAACGCTGTCCATTATCCCCATTTTTGTTTAACTTCATCGTAGACCTACTGCTGGAAATAACGCTCTCGTCGACTGAACTTTTGGGCTCTGAGCTCCTACGAGGAGGTCTACTTATCAACTTAGAATACACAGATGACATAGTCCTGTTCGGTGAAGACGCTGACAAAATGCACAGTCTTCTGTTAGAACTGAGTAACAATGCCAGGATATTTTGGATGCGTTTCTCCCCCTCCAAATGTAAATTGTTACTACAGGATTGACCTGCGTCAACACCCAAACTAAGGATAGGGAGTGAAGTAGTCGGACGCGTCAACAACTTCACTTATCTTTGAAGTCTGATCAGCCCTAATGGGTTAGTGTCTGACGAAATCTCAGCACGGATTCAAAAAAGCTCGTCTGGCTTTTGCCAACTTACGTCACCTCAGTCAGTCAGCTACAACGTAGAACCAGGCACATATATGCATCGGTCCAAGTTGCCATACCTCGTTAGCAAAACAAGATGAACACCGGATTCATAGAAGTAATTAATTTACTGGTGGTAGTAGTATATAAATTGTAGGTTGTATATAAGGATATAGTATAGGAAGGAAGAACGTTATGAAGCAATTTTAATCTCAAGGTTTAAAGGAAGATAAAGAGTGTATACACCTACGCCATTGTGATCGATTCTGAGCCATGTCACATAGAGTCTCCAACCACTGGTTACGATAGTCACGCGGACCCCAACCAGATAGTCTGTATCTGCCAACATGGCTCAGACTAGAAGTTAGTGACTTCAAACACTGATGCCATGTTTTGGTTTGGCCGCCCCTAACTCTCTTCCAACAATCCCCTACACTAGTCAGAATAGCGCGTCGTGGTAATCGGTGTTCAGGCATACGTAACACATGGCCCAACCATCTCAGTCGATGAAGATTCATCACTTCATCAATTGATTTACCATCGTTCCTTAATACCCTGCGTCTAACCTCACTATTACTTACCCGGTGATCCCAGCAGATGCGAGCAATATTTCTAAGGCATCTGTGACCATATACTAGTAACTTACGAGTATCTTCTACTCTTAATGGCCATGTTTCACAACCGTAAAGTAGAACAGAGCGAACTGCTGCGCAGTATACTCGTCCTTTAATTGATAGACGGATATCTCGTCTTCGCTTCTTCTATTCCGTCCTCAACCATCTGAACCAATTGAACCGTTTTACGATTTGGTCCGAAGGTTAATTGAGTGGGGGATTTCGAAGTGAGACGCACTGTTACACATACTGTGGTGATTATTGTAAGTTGGTTATTAATAACCATCTAACTCGTAATCACTATGATGTATACATTTATGTAACAACTTTTAAGTTTACTTGACAACAAACAATCCAAGTTTCATCGAGTAAAATCAGGGATTTTGCGTACTCTTACTGAAGTTTACCCATATTATTATGCGTAAAATGCCTAGCTGAATACAACTTAGAATTTGCAACTCGAAACATTTATTTTACCTCTGTAGAATACCTAACTGCATATATCTATTTCTGACAGTACTTCCTTCGAAATAAGACGTGCTGAGGTTAATGCACTGTTTTTGACGTTTCGTAGTAATTTGATCTACTTGACTTCTGAGTGGCTTTAATTCAATTAATTCGAAGCCATCTAGTATTTTAGGCAAGCTAACCAGCAGGATGTTAAATTATTGCAACAAAGTAGTCCGCGGTAGCTACCCTTATGTAGGTGTTCTTCGACCTGTTTTATCCAGTATTGATTTTAACCAACCTTCCCACATGGCAAATTTTGGAAAAAAAATAACTGGGAAGTTCTAGAAAAAGTACTTAAGCATTCAAATGGAATGTCGTTGGAGTAAGACCAAAACCAACTTTCACCACAGGGTTGGAGTAAGACGATTCTCCCGAATTCGCACTTCAAGGTTGGTCCCCCTGGTAGGAGATCAATTCCTGTAAATTCAGTCGAAGAGAGTGTTATTTCCAGCAACAGGTCTATAATGAAGTTAAACAAAAATGGAGATAGTGGACAGCCTTGATGGACACCACTTGAGGTTGTAAAATCATATGACAGTTCGCCATAAGCTCTCACTCGACTGGTAGTGTTCCAGTAAACAGCCTTCACAAGGTTTATGTACTTCTCAGGTACACCTTTCAATGACAGGCACTGCCACAGAACCTCTCAGTCTACAGAGTCAAATGCTGCTTTCAAGTCAAGAAAAACTTACGTCACCTATGGCAAAGGCAAAAAATCCGTCTATCAATTAAGGGACGAGTATACTGCGCAGCAGTTCACTCTGTTCTACTTTACGGCTGCGAAACGTGGTCATTTAGAGTAGAAGATACTCGTAGGTTACTAGTATATGGTCTCAGATGCCTTAGAAATATTGCTCGCATCTTCTGGGATCACTGGGTAAGTAATAATGAAGTGAGACACAGGGTATTAATGGGTAATGGTAAATCAGTAAATGAGGTTGTGAATCTTCATCGGCTGAGTTGGTTGGGGCACGTGTTACGTATGCCTGAACACCAATTACGACGATGTGTAATGCTGACTAGTATTGGGGATGGTTGGAAGAGAGTTAGGAGCGGCCAAACCGAAACGTGGCATCAGTGCTTGAAGTCAACTAGCTTCTAGTCTAAGCCATGCTGTTAGATGCAGACTACTTGGTTGGGATCCGCGCGACTATCGTAACCAATGGTTGGTGACTCTATGTGGCATGGCTCAGAATCGATCACAATGGCGTAGGTGTATACACCCCTTATCTTCCCTTAAATCTTGAGATTAAAATTGCTTCATAACGTTCTTCCTTCCTATACTATATCCTTATATACAACCTATCTTCTATATATTACCACCACTGAAGTAACTACTTCTATGAATTCGGTGTTCATCTTGTTGTGCTAATGAGTGTGGCAACTTGGACCGATGCATATATGTGCCTGGTCCTACGTTGTAGCTGACTGACCGAATTAATGTAGGTAGACCAAAATTCGAGATTATACTCTCTTGGTTGACAGTGGAGTGCTTTAATAATTGGACCGCCATTTATTAAAAACGGTTTATTTTTGAATTTTTTCGGTTTTCAGCTTCTTGAATCTACTAATAAACGACTGCTTTCCTGATGACTAATTAGGTTTTACAAGGTTCCACTATTATTTCTGGTTCTCGATGACCATGTTGGAGTTCGTAAATGGACACTCTATTAACTAGCTTCCAAATATCCATAGTTGAAATTCTGCTGGAATTCTTATCACCTTTTTACAGCACATGACGGATGGAAACATTCTTGCATCAAAAACGGTCTTCCAGTTACTACTGAAATATTTCAGTAAATTATGTGGACGACTATTAATAAAACTAGCAATTCTGAAGGCAAAAAGTCCCGTATGAAAAATACTTTCACTGTTAGTTGTAATGATTCATTCAATACCTGCCCCCAAATGCCCTGGTACGGCCGAGAGTGGGGAGAGTCCGCTCTTCCTCTCGAAATGCTCTCACATGGCCACGCGTATACAGCCTCTGCCAGGGAAGTCCTACTCACTGCCTTCTCGTGGCGGGGGTGTTGTTTACGAAAGTGAGAGGACGAAAAGCGAATGTCCGGCGCTTTAACCGGGTTGGTGGATATGGAATGTCCACCTAGGGGAGTTGGAAAACCCTGATTCCAAACCAATGGTACACATGGGCTCCGGTATCCTGAAGGAACAAATGGCGTATAAATCAATCGTTGGTCACCGGCTACCATGGGACTGCATCTCTTTGAGATGCTCCACTGCCTTGTGGACTAGACCTTTAGGTCAAAGGCTCGGGGTGTGGCCCCCTAAGACAACCACCTGCTTCTGTTTGGGCACCTGGACAGTATCACAGCCCTCACACAAGTTAAATGAGATTTGTGAGGCGCATATTTATCCGGTGCTTTTTTGTACCAATATTTATGTGTTTAAATAAATAAAATGCCAGTTTCCCCTACCAGGGTTTGACAAATCAGTGTTCTAAATAGTATTGGCGTCTTTCTATATATTGTTTCCCTCTGATTGTGACATACACAATTAAACAGCTTTACTTAGCGTCTGTGTACAGTAAATTCATTTAATACCTCTTCTCTTTAGACCACGTGGGCATTGTGAGATGGATAGAAACTCACTTCTTATGGCAGTTTCTTCTCTACTAGATCCAACCATTGATAACAATAAGCGAAGTGAATGCTTCATGGTAATGCGGTTTTGTTTTTGGCTATAAACATACAGATGGCTGAGAATTACAAAAATGAGCAATTCCAGTTTGCTGATGTTGACTTTCTGTGTAATGCGAACCAGCCTTCCGTTATCATACTTTTCGGACTTCAGTGTTTGGATCACTACTTAAAGTATTACCGTGTAACATACATCCAAATTTTAGAAATCACTGGGGTCAGATGGCGTTTCATGCGAAATCCAGCCTGAAACAAAATATTTTTAAACTCTCAAGAGAAGTATGTCGTATTTATTTCTTATTGAATAAGATTAATAAATTTCGGTTTTCTAGAGAAGAAATGCGTGCTTTCAGTCTAATGTTGAGTCAGATTATCGTCTTCCTCATCAAGTGTGAATGGCCTCAACAATGGCCTACTATGTTACCAGAATTCCTGTCCCTTGGAAAGATAGGGGTATGTTCCTTCTTAAATGATCTACTCTTATTAGATTCTCCAAACTAAATTAGTGCTGAATTCATTCCTAAGACTGTATGAGGATGTTGTACAGTTCCAAGATGCTCCACCATCTCGACGGCGTGACATTTTAACAGGTCTGAATGACAACTTGACCGAGATATTTGTTTTTGCACTTGATAGTATTGTTAACATCCTCTTACTACCAAATGCCGTATGTTCATAATTTACTTTATTTTCAATATAAATTAGGATTCATCCATCGACTGCGACTCGCTTGAGATTTGTCGTGAGTCATTATATACATTGGGAGGTTTTCTTGAGTCCTGTCGCCTAAATGTTTTAACTTCTTGGACCCCTTCAGAACTCGCCATCAAAAACCTCAATCTTAGTCGCACTTTGCCATTTCTGAGTTTAATTACTACTCTCGTTGGGATTAGGAGCTTGCAAACCGATGCTCTAAGTTTGATAAATATCTTGCTATCCAGACGAATACAACCTGGATCCGAAATTCCAGATTCATATGGCCCAACTATTGCTGACAGTTTTCTGAAAGAGCCTTTGGGATCTTCATCTCCATGCAATAATCTCATAAAAGTTTTATGGTAAGTTGGCTTCATAGTCACACCATTTTGAGTTATTTTTTGTTAAAAGTGAACCAAAATATTCTTTGTACTTTTTAGTTCTACATTATCCGAAAATCCCGTGTATTCTGATGAACGTTACAACTTCTTAAGGCTATTTGGTGATATTGTAGTCCATATTGGTTGTCATATGATTATCCATTGGAAGGCGTATTCATATGAATCCGCTCTCTGCAGTTGTTTGGATCATGGTGTCTGTGAATGTCCTAACCTACCATCACATCTCTTCCAGGCAATTTTACGTTTGACTGCCTACCCAATCCACGTACGTCTTTAGATTTGGTATTAGAAATATTTAAATTTATGAAGCAGTCAAAATATAAATCTCATATTCTCACCGTCTTTTTATAATAAAAGTATCTAATTTACACCCCCTTTTTACGTCTATAGTGTTATATAGCCGTTTAGTACCATTTATTTCGTTTAGTTTATTAGTTTTTTTAATATAACTTTACTAATAACCGTTTCATAAATAATGTTGATGTTGTTCTAAGTAATGTACTATAATCTATAAATTTTATACTGAGCTATTTTAAAACAGTAACTGATCAGATAATTTTATTATGAAAGACAAACATATTGTGTCAAATTTGCAACCACGGTTTATAAAACCTATCTAGATATTCAAAGTAACATGAATGTAACTAAACACTTAATTAAGTAGAATTTCATATAACTTATATTTTGTTGCTTAGTTGCAATCACGAATGAGTACATTTAGTTTTGGGCAAAAATTTAAAGTTTACGTCTACTAGGTCGTGGCAGAGTGTTAAAGACACCCCTACACATTTTAGAAGTATTTACTTTTAAGCGAATCTTTTCCTAAATTTAAATGTATCCTTACAAAAATGTGGGCTTCAAATGTACGTAAGACGTTAGAAATTATGTTATATTTGTGGAAATCTTGATTATTAAAATCAAATGGCATCAGCATTTCTCCTGACATCTTGATTGGAGTTTCAAAATGGTAATCAGTGGTAAATAAGGTCGTAAACATATCTTTTTCCAAAAATTTTCTAGTCATGTTCAGATGTTGGATGTGAATGTTCCCCACTCAATAGAGATATGTTCGAATTGCGGTATTTGAAGTTGTGTATATTCTCATTCAAATACAGTTATCTTGAGTTCTGATGAGAATCATACCAGTCGCCCAGACTTACCACAAAGTGAAGTTTAGCAATAAATTAAATGTATGAGAATATCTATTGTTTGAAGGACCAATAACTAGTCGCATACATGTGTGCGGTGTTATCTCAAAATGGAACCAAAGAAATGATAATTCGTTATAGTTAATTAAACCATTAAATGCATGTTGTTGGTATTTACAAGGCTCAAAGTGTACAGGAACAAGTCTTTGACATTTATCAGTAAGTATTTGGTAATATGAGTTCTTCACTTTGTTTAAATCTTAGTTCCGCTATAAACCCAATTGTTAATGAAAATGGCCTATTAATATTAGAAAAGAAAAATTCCAAATTCTTGGCGGATTTGGAAATTGTAATTAAGCTTGTTATGTTCCTTACTATGACCCTTAACATCGGTACGCATGAGTCTATATAAACAGTGTGAGATATTTTCTCCTGTAGAGTATATTTTCTTGCAAGTGCTTTTGTGTAATGTTTGACTTTTTGGTACCAGGTAATATCAGCGTGCACAAACAAATTTTGGATTACCGTTCTTCGTTCAGAGGAAGAATCTTTACTCAAGTTAACTGAAAGGTTTGCGGATGATTTATTTAGCATTTGGCAGAAGAATTCATTAAAAGTAAGTCATTCAGTGACTAAATCACACTAGTTAAGTCGGGTTTTTATTGGAGAGTATTTATGAATAGCCTATAAAATTCAGTACACTAATTGCATCAACAAACTTGTCAGCTAGTGTAAGAAATAATAACACAAGTTAAACTAAAATGAAAGGTATCCTGAGCTTTTGTTCGTTTATTTAGTGGGTCCATCCAAAATTGAAAGAAAACTGCACTATGAAATCCTAAGTTTCATTATCTTTATAAGACTGTTAGCGGTTGACTGTTCTATTAAAATCGAAATGCGTGGGTCTAAAAAGTTTTTAAAACCAAATTTCATAGGTTTGAAATACCCCATTTCCGCCTTACTTCAGTTTGATACACTTGTAAAATGACTAACCCTTACGGAGTTACATTAAGGTTCATTGGTAGTAGTTGATAATCTGACGTAGGAAAAGTAAGTTTTCTTCAATCCAATCTTCCTCTACTTCGTTTGACACCGTAGATAGGACATTCAGTTGTTAATATTCTCAAGCGATCACGGCAAACGTTCTCTTGGAGAGCTTTCACGTTAATCCTAGTTTGTTTCCATAACGTGAAACTTGATGTGATTATTAAAACAAATTAAAGACTAAAGTATCATTTTGGAAAAATAGTCACATACTTGACATTATCAACGTGACTCATCAAATTCATTAGTCATAGGTGGAATTTATATTCATGTGAAGTAGATAACAGTATCTTATCGATACATTATACACACGTAATGCTTGTGGTCAATCTACGTTTGAAAGTTGTTTCAATAGCTTAGTTACAAAATACAGTAAATGCGTTCACTTATGCTAATTGTTTACCACAATGGCTACTATATTTTATTGCTGATTTTTTAGGTTGGTCAACCATCTGGTACTGGTATTCAAAGTGAATGGAACCGAAGAATTTTTGAAACCGATGATCATACTAGTTTTTTCTCCCGTAAGTTAAAACTAATCACTATTGTGAAAAAATATAAATTAGCTGACATAATTTTGAGAACTTCACTCTTTTGCTGTCATTTTCTAAATCTTGTCCTACAAGGATTAATCAGTTGTGAACATACTATGAAATTATTGTTTCAAGGTAAATAATTTAATTCACCAGGTAATCGGATATTCTTGCACCTTAGTTTACTGTGTTTAGCTCCAAATAAGGAAAAAAAAATGTCTAGATTGCAACGACACTGTCTTACTGGTTATAGCATGATATACCTTCTTGACTTACAAGAAAAAGCATTGATTTAATCTCAATCTCAAGTTCCTTAATGCTCCTCAATCATTGAACCATTATACTAAGTAGATAACTTTCTTCATCATTTATAACAAACTGACGTTAAGACCATACTGCTTTTATCCTTCGGCAGTTAAATAACAAGCGGATACAGCATAGGTTTCAGTATGATAATCTATCAACGAAGACCATACTTTTTACCAGCTTATCACTGGACATTCAGGAAATGGAAATAAAATTTAGAGATGAACAGGAAACTATATGTGGGGTAGTATTACTTATATAATATTGAAAGATGGTAAAGAACATAGTCCTATCCGGATCATTCCCATGTCATTTGTAATATACATTCTTTCTTATTTCTGAATTTATTGACTTACATCTGCCTCTAACTTATTATTCGAAAATAACACCAGAACACTCTAAACACTATAGAATAACCCAATCATGCTGTACCACAAATTGTCCAAAGCTTAAGAAGTTTTGTATTCAATTTAAATATAGTTGGAAAAATATAACGTTCTGTTTAGAAAATGGCGATTTCATCTAAAAATTTTGTTGTACTGTTGATCTATCCCAAAAATGAAGAACTAGTAACTATCATCACAAGAGCTCTGAGTGGTAGTGTTAGTTGCTTAGATTGAGTATTGATATCAGTATACTACACTTCCAGATGATTTAGTGATTTCTGTATAAAGTATCACAGACTTGGAACGTGAAGTGGTATCTGTTGAACTATGAAAAATATTACAAGGAGGTTCCGTTCCGGTTGGTTTATATATTAAACTACTGAGATCTCTCAGGGATATAAATTCCTAAATATTTTAGCAAAATATGTCACTGATTCCAAAAACAGTTGAAAATTCTTAGTACTATGAGAGAAACTATTATGTGGACGTATTGTAGTATAGCTCTTTCCTAGCTGTACATATATTTCTGTCGTCCAACATAAACGTTTTTATTTGTGTAAGTTTTATTAAATTTTGTTAGTCAAATGACTCATTGATCCAGACTTACAACTACTAGGTTATGATAATGAAGACAGAAATATATTTGCAATATCCCAATGGGCAGAAAACTAAATTTTTAACATTTCGTGTTTGACTGTAATTCTTTTCCTCATAAAGTTAGTAACTACTTTATTCAGTCTAATGCAATAAGCAAATTAGGGTAAACATTACATAAACAATTTTGACCATACTAACGTCTTTTTATTTAGAGCAAAGAGGATTTTATGTTAAACTTCTTTTTAGATGAGTAATTTAACCGACGTGTTTTTGATGTGATCTTAAACAGATTACGTATGAGTTGTGGTTTAAAAGTTACCTAACTTTGCTGCGGTCTGCTAAGTATTTTTCCTACTTTCTATGTAATTAATATGACTCCTATCTTTACATCGGTACCCGTAGACTGAATTTTAAATGCTTACTTGTAAATAATTAAAAATGATCACCACAACTATGTTTTCAAATAAACATTCATCCTTCAAAAGGTCCTAATAACCGCTAAAATATGGTGCAACCAAATTAAATATCTAAAATTAATTTTATGACATTTGTTCACTTATTTCCTTTCAGGATACCGAAGTGATTTGGTAAAGTGTTTGTCAGCTGGAGCGTCTTGCTGGCCACAAAAATTTTTACCTTTGTGTATATCATGGATTGAAACACTAATCCAAGCATCTCCTTCCTGTCAAGGTATTTTAAACAAATATAATCAATAAATTTGCTTTGTATGAATATTTTGATATAAATTATTCATTTTAGGTGGATTATGGGAAGTTACTCTCACTTTCTTCTATTCGGTGTATTAAAACTGCCGTTTCGTAGTGTATTTTGGTGTTTTTTTCTTATCTTTTCCAGATTATGATCAAGTAACTAAATTCCTGTTAGCGACTTCACCACTTATACTCGAATGGGAAGCTTTAGATTCGTTTTTAGAACCATGTCTATCAGCTGTTGAGCAATCATTGAAAACTCGTCATATTGATATGGATATTAGTTCAAAAGTGAAAATTTTGATTCATGGGATTTTACAATCTTCAAATACTATGGATCCGCTCATTAGAGCTAAGCATCTAACTTGTTTGTCAATGTTATTACAACATGTTGATCCAAATAATGATTCAGAACTCCTGGTACCCTTTTTAAACAAGGTAATTCTTATCGTTATTGTTAATGCTTTGCGTTTCTATTATTGCTACCTAGACTCACCTACATAGAATGTTTCACTACTAGTTCAACGTCTATTATGCTGAAAGTAATTAAATATGTAAATTTATTTTTATGCAAATAGATCTTATTTGTATATAGATTTCTACTCTTAGACAGTTTAGCAACATGTGAAACTAAGTTCTTGTTTTTTTTTTTAAATAAACGTTGAAAGAGACTTTAAGAAGACGGGTGTACTCTTATTTGTTTTAATTCCCGATTTATCTGATGAGAATATTCCCAAAAGCGATAAGACTGTTCCAGGCACTCTGAGAGGAAGAATGTAGTTGGGAAGAGTAAATCAGGAACTAATGAGTTATGATGCCTACCGAGCTTCAAATAATTTATAAATATTGAGTTTGTGGTAGATATGAATACCATGAGTTTTATCTGCTGGACTTTACACACAACTCCATATCCTTGAGTAGAAACATTATTTTATGGAGACTGGAAATTACTATTTAATTTTGTATCGTTAATTTCAATATTAAATCGTTGACTGTGAATTTCGTACCATTAATGTCTATCATATCGTTGTAACACTACTTTTATTAAAATAAAATACTAACCAGTGTTTTTCTGAGAGCAATTTAGTGATTTCCTATAGGCTTGAAATTTATTCCTAATTAGTGAAATGCTAACTAATAGTATGATGATACATGCTGTAGGAAACTCCGCCTGTAGCTCCTCTGAGGGTTACTGCCGGTCCCAAGCCCGGGTAAAGGAGGAGGGTTGGGCATGGGGTTAGCGACGCCATCCCGTAGAAAACCAACTCGCTAAAAAAACGCCAACCAGAAAAAAATATTCGAACCATTTAAACTCTGCCCTGGGAGTAGAAGGAATAGTTATGACGTCTCATGATGAAAGCCGAGTTCCTTCGGAAGTCATGAGGCCGATGCACCTTCTTACAACCAGAGCGACAATTTTTATAGGTACATGGAATGTCCGGACAATGTGGGAAACCGGGAGAGTCTTCCAAATTGCTGCAGAAATGAGGAAATACGACCTGGAGGTGCTTGGGATCAGTGAAACACATTGGACACAGGTTGGACAACAACGACTGTCTTCAGGGGAACTTCTGTTACACTCTGGCCATGAAGAAGAAAATGCCCCCCATACACAAGGAGTTGCATTGATGCTGTCCAGAAAAGCACAAAATGCACTTATTGGATGGGAATCTCATGGATTAAGGGTCATCAAAGCCTCCTTCAAATCAAAGAGAGAGGGCATTACAATGAACGTTATCCAATGCAATGTGCCTACCAATGATTACAATGAAGATGTTGAAGATCAATTCTACGATAGGTTGCAGTCAATCGTCGAGAAATGCCCAACAAAGGACTTGACCATTCTGATAGAAGACCTAGATGCCAAGTTTGGAGTCGACAACACTGGACACGAAGGCATCATGAGACGACATGGACTGGGAGAAAGGAACGAATGTGGTGAGAGTTTTGCAAACCTATGTGCCTTCAATAGACTGGTCATAGGCGGCACTATATTCCCAAACAAACGCATACACAAAGCCACTTCGATTTCACCGGATCACACTACACAGAATCAAATCGACCATATCTGCATCAACAAAAAGTTCAGGAGGACGATGGAGGATGTGAGAACCAGAAGAGGAGCTGATATAGCATCCAATCATCAGTTGCTGGTCGCCAAGATGAAACTAAAACTCAAGAAGCACTGGACAACGGTGCGGACAACATCACAAAAGTTTAATACGGCCTTTCTTCGAGATGCTGACAAAGTCAACAAATTCAACATAGTCCTCAGCAACAGGTTCCAGGCCTTTCATGATCTACTCAATGGAGAGGGAACTACCATGGAGAGCAACTGGAAAGGTATCAAGGAGGCAATCGTTTCAACATGTCAGGAGGTTCTGGGCCAAAAGAAGCACCGTCACAAGGAACGGATCACTGTTTGTACACTGGATAAAATTGAAGAAAGGAGGAACAAGAAGGCAGCAATCAATATCAGCCGAACAAGAGCAGAAAAAGCCAAGGCACAAGCCGAATACACAGAGGCAAACAAGCAAGTGAAGAGGAGCATCAGAACCGACAAACGTAAATATGTGGAAGATTTAGCGATGACAGCGGAAAAGGCTGCAAGAGAGGGAAACATGAGACAACTGTATGATACAACAAAGAAACTTGCTGGAAATTACCGTAAACCAGAAAAACCAGTGAAAAGCAAGGAAGGCAAAGTAATCACCGACATTGAAGAACAACGTAACAGGTGGGTAGAACACTTCAAAGAACTCTTAAATCGACCAGCTCCACTGAACCCACCCAACATCGAAGCAGCACCCACAGACCTCCCAATTGATGTTGGCCCACCAACAATTGAAGAGATTAGCATGGCCATTAGACAAATCAAGAGCGGCAAAGCAGCAAGACCACATAACATTTCGGCAGAGGCACTGAAAGCAGATATAACAGCAACTGCAAAGATACTTCACATTCTTTTCAGCAAGATTCGGGATGAAGAACAAGTACCAACAGACTGGAAGGAAAGACTTCTGATCAAGATACCAAAGAAAGGCTATCTCAGACAGTGTGGTAACTACAGGGGCATCACTCTTCTCTCAATACCAGGAAAAGTCTTTAACAGGGCGTTGTTTATCAAAATGAAGGACTCTGTAGACGCCCAATTTCGAGACCATCAGGTTGGATTCCGTAAGCAACGATCGTGTACAGACCGAATCGCAATTCTACGGATCATTGTGAAATAAACAATTCAATGAAATTCATCGCTCTACATCAACTTCATTGACTACGGGAAAGCATTTGATAGCGTGGACAGGACAACACTATGGAGGCTTCTTCGACACTACGGCTCACCTGAGAAGATAGTCAATATCATACGGAACTCCTATGATGGATTAAACTGTAGAATCATGCATGGAGGACAGTTGACGGACTCGTTCGAGGTAAAGACCGGTGTTAGGCAAGGTTGCTTACTCTCACCCTTTCTCTTTCTCCTGGTGATCGACTGGATCATGAAGACGTCAACATCTGGATGAATGCACGGGATACAGTGGACAGGCATGATGCAGCTTGACAATTTAGACTTCGCGGATGATTTGGATCTTCTATCACAAACGCTACAACAAATGTAGGAGAAAACGACCAGTGTAGCAGCAGCAGTAGGTCTCAATATAAACAAAGGGAAAAGCAAGACTCTCCGATACAATACAATATGCACCAATCAAATTACACTTGACGGAGAAGCTTTGGAGGATGTGGAAACCTTTACATATCTGGGCAGCATCATTGATGAACACGGTGGATCAGATGCAGATGTGAGGGCGCGGATCGGCAAAGCAAGAGCAGCATACTTACAACTGAAAAACATCTGGAGCTCAAAACAGTTGTCAACCAACACCAAGGTTAGAATTTTCAATACAAATGTCAAGACAGTTCTATTGTATGGGGCGGAGACGTGGAGAACTACCAAAGCCATTATCCAGAAGATGCAAGTGTTTATTAACAGTTGTCTACGCAAGATACTTCGGATCCGATGGCCAGACACTATCAGCAACAAGTTACTGTGGGAGACAACAAACCAGATTCCATCCGGCGGAGGAAGAAATCAGGAGGAAGCGCTGGAAGTGGATTGGGCACACTTTGAGGAAATCACCCAATTGTGTCACAAGACAAGCCCTCACATGGAATCCTGAAGGTCAAAGGAGAGGAGGAAGACCAAAGAACACATTACGCCGAGAAATAGAGACAGACATGAGAAGAATGAACAAAGGTTGGATCGAACTAGAAAAGAAGGCCCAGGACAGAGTGGGTTAGAGAATGCTGGTCGGCGGCCTATGCTCCATTGGGAGTAACAGGCGTAAGTAAGTAACATGCTGTAGGAACTTGTATTTCATCTAACTGGGCTTGATCACTGAAGTTATTTCAACTCGTAATACTTAAGGATTGCGTTTTATGTAGCAATTTAGTATGAGATGTTGCTTATATGGCTTACGAATTAATTTCTTTTAATTATGTTCCAGATTTTTGAATCTTTAAACTCTTGTCCTGTTGTGGATGAATCTACATCTTTAATCGATACACTTGATTTTGTAAATAGACCACGGCAAGTTAAAACTATGCACTTAGCATCTGCAACATCATTTCTTCGTTTCACTCGTGCTCATCCTATAAGAATGATGGTAAGTTCCGTACTACTTTTACAGAATGATCTAATTGTATGATTTTTATTAAGATTTTTTTCTGTCACTTAGATATTTTGGAATTCGAATAATAAATGATTTGGCACAATACCGACAGAACAGAAATAACCGATCTTATTGTGTTAAACACAGCCCTTGCCAACGTTTGGTGACGTGTTATCAGTTATGCCCACAAAACCCCCTTGTGAAAATTAAATGTATTATTGTTAAGATCTCTCTACATGACGCAGCTACTATCATTGCTTAGTATTCTTCGGACACATTACTTCACTCGATTAGTCCCCCAAATCAGAACACGGTCGAACGGGAACTAAATTATGTTTCAAATAAACAAAGTTGAATGAGAGTAAGGTTCACAGTAAGAAAAACGTTGGTATATTTATAATTGTACACGCGAAGATTCTACAGTCTTCTACAATTATCCTCTAGCTGTGATTCGCTAAGAAACGGTTAGTCAGCCTGCTCCAATACAATTCTTCACAAAACATGCTTTAGTTCAATCTATATCCTGCTAACTGTTATGATTTGCAACTACAAGTCTATTTTGTTTACCTATAAGCAAGATTTTATGGTCTTTTTATATCTTATGGTGAATATTAATTAGGGTGGCTTAAACAACTCTGGTTGATGGATTTTATTTATGTTTATTTAGTTTACTGGAAGTTGATTTAGTCATAATAATTGTTTAGTCTACATTTCTATCGAATAATCATACATTGACTGTCTATACGTTAGATTATTGTAAAAAAAATTAATTACCTTTCTGATTTTAGTATTTCATTTGTTTTTTAGCCTTATTTTGATAAAATATTGAATGAAATAAATAGACTTTGGATGGAGAAAATTTGTGGAAGTATGGAGAAAGGTATTCTTTTAGAAGCTTTAGTGATACTTGGGTAAGTGGCGAATGTCACATGTGCCATTGAAATATATATATTTGTTGTTACACATTGTCCTGATCTGTCTTCCTAACTGTTATATTTTCTTGTTTAAGCTTTCGTGTTCCTCAGCCAATCAATGTACAGTTCGATTTTCTTCGAAGTTTGCTTGTCAATGTTTATGGTCCATGGTGTGGCCAAAATCCTTACAACGTCACGCCACTTTCAGAATTATTGCGCGCATGTGAATCTGGGGCATCTGGTTTAGTTGCAGCTTTGGGTCTCAATAAACCTTCTGATCAATTGGGGAACTTTGAATCTCCATATGTTCAAACCCGGATAAATCTGAATCACAATGTTCGTTCGTTGTTGGCTGTTTGTAGACGCCTCGCAGAACCGTGCAATAATCAGCAGGTATTTTGATATCTGTATGTCAAGTCAGAGTTCCACAAACCCCCATCTTTTCCTCTTACCAGTTTCCTGTATAGTTTAAGACTACTTATGAATCGCTCGTAGTAGTAATCAGTAGTATACGAAATACCCGACTGGTTCAAAGTATTCTAATACCAATATTATTTACAATAATATGAGAATAATTCAATAAAAAATCACTGTTTGCTGTTGGTCTATGATACTATCCTGGTGTGTAAACTTTGCTAGGTGAACTGTAGTTTGAGGTCATGAACCGATGTTTAAAGGTTGTTTCCAACGCTATGAATAATGTATCGAACCAGATTTTATTAGTAATATTTACAAATATCATATTGACACTGTTGTTTATGTTAATGATAATGAAAGCTCTTCGAAATACTGCTAATGTTTCTTGACTAATTTTATACATGTACCTAGTAAACAAAAAATCTTTACTGCAAACATTTTCCAACTAGTTTTAATATTTCTTGTTATTTTCGTTCAATATAAATTCAATGGACATTATTAATAGTCCTTGTATATAACTTAAAATGTGCAGCTTAATATTATTTTATTATTCTTTACCTCTACTTGACGACAACATTCGTAGAACGTTTAAATAGTAGAAACGAAAGTAGAACACCTTGCAGAACAATAAATATTTACAATGATGTTTCTAAAAAGTAAGATTCCCTTTCAGGCATTTCTGAAACAATATTTCATCATGCTGTTTTTGTGATCTAGTATACTAATAATGTAACGCATTTACAAAGCAAAAGTATATATACCAGACTTCAAACTGCGGTATATGCAGCGGCTGATGATGCTGTCTGGATGCTTAAATCAAGATCGATTTTACGATGTCTGGATCTTCAACCTACTGGTTGAAAGTCGAGCACTTTAACCACTAGATATTCTACTATTTATTCATCATGCTCATCTTGAAATCCATTGAAGCTCCAGATATTCTCAAAGTATAATAACGTACATTTCATTTGAGCATCACTTCATAAGCTTGTATTCAGTCAATTCAGTTTATCCCTATAGAGCAATGTTTAGGAAGCGCAAATGAAAAAGAATTTGCCTCGAGCAATCAGTCATTAGAAAGTGTAAAAATAAGCCAAATTCACAAGCGAATCCAAATCGGTTTACTACTAAATATTATTGATTTAAAAGTAATGAGTGATCACAGTTTTTGTAGTTTCATTCTATTCATCTTTTTCTTACTTTTAGTTTCACGCTGATGGTACTTTTGATCTTCTATTTTAAACCAGTTCATATATCATTTATCCAACACAAAATACTGCTTTATCAAGCTCTTCTTAGTAACTTAGTATCTTGGCGCCTTAGAACATCAACAAGTGCACCACACCTTAACAGTAACCCCTCATAATAATAAAATGTAATTGTTTGTATAGGGCTATCGTAGATGTTATTAGGTTCGTTAATTGTCCCCTAACTCAAAAACAATTGATACATGAAATCCGTTCAAACTCATTGGTTTCATGCATATGAAGGTTCAACGTAGTATATACGCTAATTATTGTTGAATTCATTATAATTATCTAAGGCCTTCATCATCACTATTTTGTTTCATTTACCCAGCTTGAAAATATTTCACTACCCATCTTGGAACCCGTTTTATCACCAGTTTTGCATGTTCTTCGGTAAGTACCATTATGAATTGTGTCTTTTCCGTCATTTATCGGTTAATCATCAATATTTATGAAAATGTTCATTTATAATTAGTTTTAATTCGTAGTTATCAAATTGTTTTGTAACTCAGAGCATTCAACCAACTTTGGTTACCGGAAACACTGAAACTAGTTCATCCAACTTTACTTCCTGTATTACAACATACAGATGAAATTCAACTATGTTCATTGAATTCTCAATTTCAAAATATACTCAAAGTAAGTAGTGATGTAAAATAAACAACATATATTCCCCTGTGATTATTCATACTTACTATTTTGTCAGACACTGACTAAGTGTCTGTATTTTCTTGTTCACAGCATATTTAACGCTACCTCCTCATTTTGTTTGCTAGATTAAATAAACAGCTCTACTGAAAAGAGAACTATGTGTATGATACAGTTATATAATAAAAATGGTACGATGAAATAAAATTAAGCTAAGCAATTTTTGTCTATAAAATGATTTACGAGTTGATTTTGTATTCATATAAAGTTGAACCAAGCGAAGTGAAATTGTTATGTACGTTTATCAATTCAATCAACTAAATAGTTGCATTGGTATAAGTTAAATGGTTATAAAGCATGATATGTATAGTGTTTTCACAAAATGTTTACATTTAGAATCCGGGTGTGACTATCTGCTTGACCATCAGAGAAAAAGCGTACAACAAGCGCACAGATACTATACTATTGGGAACCTTATGAGACACAAAATAATTCGCATCTGAAAATGGCTACACTATTATTGCCGACTACCCGTAAAAGAAAATTTTACTACTAATATTATCCGTAATCCTAACTGAACAAACCTTGTTCTTATAGATCAAATCACAAACTGGTCTTAGGTTGACTATCACGATAAGCCAGGAGGCACTGAGCAGCCATTTTGTTTTAGTGTGGAACACTTCAGAAGTACGCATTCACAACTCCGCCATCAGATACTGATTCAGGACCTTCAGTCTCGTATGCGAACGCTTAACCTCTAGACCACAGAACCGGAATCCGGAAATGTACGTGTTCGGAAGTCCTTCGTTCGGTCCTCAGTGGCGGGGTTATAAATGGGTTCTGATGAGGTGTCTCGTACTAGGACGAAACAGTTTTCTAGTACTTTTTGGTTTTCAATGGTGATCTAGCTAATATCATTCCGTAATTTAATCTATGAAAATCTAACAAACTCCACAAAACCTCCATACTAAATTCCGTTCTGTATATATTTATTATCTGTTTATTGCTTTTAATAGTTTGTAGATGTTACGAATCCTTCGTTACACCGGTTGCGCACTTTCCTCAATGACTGTCATGAGAATTTAATGGGGATAGTTGGTCTTTTATTTGTTTCGTTGGGATCGAAATTCTATCGTTTACCAACTGAACAGTTAAGAATTGCATTGCACGATGGTTGTTGTGCTGCATTTGAACATTTGCCCGACCTCAAGCTAAACAGTCTTCTACGTATCCTTTGAAAATACTGCATTGTTATTATTATTATTATTTATAAGTTCGACGTAAACAGATCACCGTTCAATAAAACCCACTTTAGTATCATGCTTCTTTAATATTATCCGAATTCAAATATGCAAATAAGAAGTCATAAATGACAAAGTAACTTGAACACCGATAATGTTATTAAGAATTGAAATATATGCAGACATGTTTAAAGTGTTTGCTTTAATCAATATCGTTTTATCTAGTCTAATAAAAAGCATGTTTTTTTGGAGAAACATTGTTCTGCACTGCATTGAATCAGGGCTGTAAAATAGTTCTTTTTTGAATCATAAATTTTTTTATTAACAGAAATTTACTTTGTTAGTTATAGGTTATCTAAAATCGTCGTAATTTTTGTCCTAATCCGAGAACCCAATTATTTGGGCTTGCATTTTTAAAAAATCCAAAGACTCTAGATCAATCACTTTACTTACCAAATATAAATCATTGTCATCGAAAATATTCTCACTGAAACATTGATAAAATAAACATGATTATTTAAGTTAAGAACTAACATCATTTAGTTGTGAATAGTTAAAAGAAAATTCGGACAAGTCATAGTGTGTCATTTACCTAAGCCAACGGAAATTCCCAAAACAAACCAATATTCAAATGTGAAATCGATGATAAAAATAGAAAATAGAGTTTTTAATCAAAAATTTCTCCAAAAAGTTGTTTTGTTTTTCAAATCTACATAGTAGTTTTCATCTGTAGAGTTTTAATCGAGTTTAATTTTACTAAACTGTTACCAATACACCTACATGACTGAACACTAGTGCTTATCTCCTCGATTCTTTAGCATAATTCAGTTTCTGAAAAATATATATCCTACCACGGTGTGAACAGACTGTTCCAGTAGATTTATACTCCTTTTTAATCATCAGATTCATTCCAAGGTTAAATGTTAATTCAGAATGATCTACATGTTTTATTATTCAAGTTTGATCTCAGTTGATCATGAATACATAGACACTTAATCTCATATCATTAAATAGGCTATTTTCCCTATGTTTGTAGTGCTTGCTACTTTCACCAATTTCCTCATGTTTATATCTTCAGTTGATCTAATATTTATCCCATATACAAAAAATTTATGCCTCCGAAAGTGTTTTGTAATATTATATTGTCACAAACAGCTGCAATAGTTCTATATTAATAATCATCCAGTTATTGAGACTGTCGGTTGATTATTAATGATAAATTTTATCAATAACATGTATAACTAACGCATGCTAAAAAGAATATGTTTTCGTTTTTAAAAAATTCGCTTAATGCTACCGACATGGTATGATTGTGTAAACTCATCCTACTTAATGTACACAAATCTTCAAATGCCTTCAGCCTATATTTTCCTTAACTGTTGTCAATTGACCTAGGGTCTATTCTTCGTCCCTTTATCCGTCAGTGTCCTAGGCAGCATTTTGAAACTGCCATCATTCCTTTGGTCCCTCCAATAATTGAAGCTGCTATTAAGGTAGGATCATTATTTCCCTCATGTTCTCACAAGAGTATTCGCATCAGACATAATTAAACTGGTCATTAACGAAACCACTTCCATTTATCTAGCTGTTTTTTTGGGATAAAAACATACCAAGCATAAAGTATATACCTTATGTAACAAACCTGTGACGTAATTAGGTAAAAACTGATAGACTGACTATTTGGACCTTTGAATTCTGAATTATTAGTTTAAACGTATTGTATTTGGCCTCAGTTTGGTGTTGTGTCGGGTTGTGCATACGTGTGTGTTAACTGCTTAGAAGCCCCAAAAAACCATGATCAAACAACTGCGCCGCCCTAGTTCTTCAACCGATATCAGTCTTTAGTGTAAACTACTTTCAAAATAAAATTTCTGAATGGATTTGTCATCGTAAGTTTTAGAGATTAACTGTCGGATTCATTTTATTTTATTTCATAACCAAGCTTAAATTTGGATTTATTTAAGGAAGAGATTAAATACATTTTTTAAGCTAGTCGTTATATTTCAGGATAACTTGTCCTATCTGAGTTAAATTGACAGTAAAAGAGCGAATGCAGTAATGTAGTTGAATATTTAACTTAAAATGTTATCACTTATTTTCATACAGACGTAAAGGTTATGTTTGCCTGAATTGATTATAAGTTGTGGCATTTTATTCTCGTAAGAGCTTCTCTAAGACCATACTTCTTCAACCAAATTTTCAAAGATTTTAAATTTTAACGTGCTATAATTAACTTATATCTTAGACTGAACATATAACGATAATTCTTTCTTATCTTCAAAAATCTTATTGTCAATTTAAACTCAAACCTTGTTATTACATGTCAGTCAGCGCATGTTTCAGGTTTTAATTGTGATTTGTATATAATATTTGTATGAAAGAGATCAGTTCCGGTTAGCAGTAGAATCCACTGCTCGCATTCCATATTGTTCGGGATTCACCAACTAAATGTTCCTTCACCCCAGTGTTAATGTTTATCGCAGCTGATGAATCCCAAAAAGGATGAAACTTACATTTTGGATTCTATTGTTAACTGCACCTGATCTCTTCAGTAAAACTTTGCCGGAAATTTCTTTGTTAAGGCTATCTAAACAAGATACTTATATTCAAACCAAGGCTGATCAAAATTAAGTCAACAACATCATTAACGAGATAATCCAAATCCATTATAATAATGATATTTGTATACAATGATTTAAGCAACTGACTTATATCGTCTGGATTTTGCATGCACCTGTGACTGGTATATATCCAGTTAACTGTAAACTAATTTAACTGTATAAATTTCTCGTAGTGATTCTATTTCAATTTTGTTTCAGAGAACTGGAGCAAGATGGAATGAATTAATCCTGGCCGAGTACGTTCACGTATTTCAAAAAACTGATGTCAAATATTATATAACTATGATGACAAAATATGAATTTTTATTACTTATGAGTGTAATCCCTGTTTCTTTATTCAGACATTCATGTTTGTTGTGATTATAATTCCTCTTAATTCATTTAATTAAAATTCAAAAATCTACGAAAGAACTTGCTTTATAGACTACATATGATCTACTTGTGAGTAAATGAAAATAGCCCGAAAAATGGTCTTAGAAATCTGCGTAACACAATTTTGTAAAATAGGGAAAATTAAAATATGTACGTTCCTAACTACATACAAAATACGAATACACCATTTTAGATAAAATTTCTACCTTATAAGTTCATTTCACTAGGGTATTCAAGTTATTCATCATCGACAATGATAAAACGTTTATGACTCTCTTATTAGATCAACTAGCTTATCTCTGTATAAATAAATAAAGTGTTGCTTATTAGTCTGTTTCAAGGAATCACTCCTTCAATTGTTGATAGGTAGGAAAAAATCATGACCAGAAAAATTTCAATTATTTGTTACGATAGATCTTAATTTATGACAATTATAAATTGTTCTTTTTCATGGATCCGCAGCTAGATCATCCCTGACATTCAAGTTTTTTGACAACTATTTTATGATACATCGGTGTGATAAAAAGACATTTTTAATTTATATTGAATCCTAATCATGTTACACATTTAATCAGTGAGATGAGTAGTTTTTCGGTGAACAATACCAAAATCGATTTTAAATCATAGTTTCTGTTTTAAATTGTTTATTTTTTAGTGGACGTATCTGTGAAGACGAAAAAGCAATCGCAGCTGAACTTGTACTGGACAGATCGACTCGTCTGTTAAGTCGAACATGTTTGGATATATTGCGTAAGTTGTTGATTTTTATCATCAACCAATTAAATTTTTGTTGTTACATAATTAACTATTTATCCTATTAACATAGCTTATCGTGTGTTTTAATGTTTTTTCTATATGTCTTTTCAACAATATTCTTCCTTTACTTCCACATCATATACTTAATAGTCTTGGGCGGAGTTCTTAAATTCAGTACATTTACTGTCGTATATTTCTTCGAATAGACAAGTTAAACCAGTGTATAACTTATGACCGTATATATTAAGCACATAAACTCTAACTTCTGTTTTTCTCATTTCGTTTACCTGTATAAGGCAACCTAGAAAATCATATTTTTATCTATTATGTTAATTTATTATAAAGTTTTTTCGTTTCCATGGTCATTTATATATGTGTACTTATTTATTAAATCTAGATGCTAGTGATATAATATTTAGTATTAAAAAAAGGATTTTATGGTTTACCTTCAGTTCACAAATCTTCAAGTTGGGTATATCGACATTTGTCGTTGGAGAATCTCACTGATCCGTGTGTTTTCAACACATGTTGCTTGGTAAATAAGACTCTTTTATCTTCAACCCTTTGTCATACCTTTCTAGATAAACTTATGCAGAATTCTGTACACAGAATTACACCTCGTTTCAATCAATTATTCTACTACATCAACGTAATCGTTTGCAAAATATGTGGATTATTGATTCTGTTTTCTGAAGACAGTATTCAATTAAACATTTGATTCAGCTTGTAATTACATTATTATTTCAACTCCACTTATGTTATCTATATTAATCTTCGATTATTAATCTCACAACTCCAATTGACAGATAAAATTATTCAAGTTAATATTGGATACTAGACGTTTCAACATTAATATATTTAAGGAGGAAGAATGCATTTGTAAAATCTCAGCGAATGAATATATCATATTATATTTCCTTGAAAAAGCTTAGACTAAATCGCCAAGTGAAACGTTGGATTTACTTAAAATTCGTCCACCGAGATTTTACTAATACATTCTTCCTCCTTAATATCTGATATCAACTCGGCACTCAGATACTGTGAAACTATTCGACTGATAACTTTACTTTGTTATATTAATAAACCTAAATTCTCATGCTATAATTGCAAATATGTATTCGACTGAAACTTGATCATTGCTTTGTAGCGTTGATTTGTATTTAGAACTGTAAAACTTGATGAATATTTATTAAAAAGAGTATTTGTTCTTATGTCTCTGTTTTAGTATGATTATTAATTTTATTTTTGTTTATTTTAGGCTTGATTTACACCTTCAATGGGTATGAAATATCTGAACAATTTAATAACCCTAAGGAAAATGATGGAGATTGCGATGATGATAATGATGATGTAGACATGTCAGAAAGTATATGTGCAAATGGTCAGTCAAGTATAAATAGTTCGCTTGGACATTTAACAAAATTATTGGCAAATATGCACACTGTGTCATCGGAACCGAACTATAATGCACAGAATCTTCCTTCAGATCCTTTGTTCTTACGTTCACTAACGAAAATTTTAGCTTGGCCTGATACTTCAATTTGCTCTAAAGCTGCTCAGTGGATATCAATTCTGGTTGAGATGGTTAGTTTTTTGGAGAATCATGAAATTTGGTGTTTTTAGTTATAAACTTAATCACGAAATTATTTTATTTTGAATTACTAGTCGTTTTGTTGTCGTTAATCAGTAAGCACTGTCATATTCAGCTTTCACTGCTTATCGAATTCTGTCGATCATTTTTTTCACTAGGCTTAGCGACTAGATATCTTGGTGCCATTTGCTCGAAGTTAAAAGGTTAGTCTAGTTGACTGCACTGAAAAGTCGGTTTATAGAATTTGGTTGGCTTTAAAAAATTAGATAACGTGACAATTCAGCTATTGATTAATATCAACCTAACCCACCAGCAGAAAACGTAAGCTTACAGCTTCCCACTAATAATAATAATAGAGCTTAACGTCTTTTACTGTACAGTTTATGCCAAGCATTTGCCTATGGTATAACTCGATATGAGGATTCATTTTCTTGTAGTTTTCTTCACTAAGTTAGACAACAAATGTTCATCTTCTCTAGTACTCTAGTGGTGCAGAAATTTACAAGTTTTTATGAACTACATTATAATTTCTAAATGTTCCATTGTACTACTGCACTGTCGTAATGCTCAATCAATCAAAATCAGCTAAATAAGAACATTCATCGTTTAGGAAATTTTGATAAGCGAGTTATCACAATTTTTATGTTTTTACTGGTAGTCTAAAGATCCAAATTGTATTCATGTTGAGTTATTATTATCATTAGCTTTATTCAATATTATATTTTTGGTACAATGTAGCGCAATGTGTTCCAACAAGTTTCCGTTTCTTACTTCTTGATCTATCTTGACGACAAATGTTGAGTAATCACCAGTTCGAAGTTAGCAGTCCAGTCAATCGACATCTAAATAATGTACATTCTTTTCGCAGCATATTGCCAGCAACCACAATATCTATGATTAGGCCTTTGTAACTTGTACGACGAAAATTTGTACACTTTTCAGAAAGGCACCTGAAAAGGTTATGAGATTAATAGCCATAATGATGTATTAAAACAAACAAAATTAGATAACTTGTTGAAATATCTAGATAGCAGGAACAGGTAGCCAGATGTTCAAGCAGGTGGTTGTAACACCAATATGTTTCTGTCGTAGTGAACAAGAACACGAGTGGGGATAATTGAATGTATTTATGCACAGAATTACAGAATATCTCAGTGAAATATGAGAACCATTCAGTAAATAGTTAATTTGCAAACTATCAATCAATTGTCTCAATCTTAACCGTTCCTTCTGCGAATATCAATCCATGGTCTCTGATTATTCTCGTTCATGCATTTTCATACCGAACGCGTCCCGTTCTCTCCTTATCGATCTTTTACTGTAATAAATTCAATGCCCGACCATCGTTATATACTACTTGTGTGGATATTAGTAGCCCCCACCACGCTATCATTTTCAACTCTGCTCCGCATGCTTCAGTTTTGGCGACCAAATAATGTCACCTGTCCTCATATCTTATATGTAGCTCAATGGTGACTTCGTCAATTCATACCTGCCTGTTGATTTACACTAAATAGGTTGATGTAAGTGATTAGCGAGCAGTCACTTCTTCCATGATGCCTTACCAACTATTTGCATTTGATCTTCCCTAATTTCAGCAGTACGTTTTGTAATTGAATAGTCTGGCTAATTTAGTTATTGTATAAGTCTCATCATAATTATATGTAAAACCGATAAAAATCTACTATCATTTTTGTTTCTTGACAATTCATTTTAAAGCTGACCAATACCGTCACTCAGACTAATTGTGGTCCAAAAATTGCTACCACACATTTATCTACTGATATTGCAGAATTTATTTTATTCGGAATCTTATGTGGTCTACACGTAAATGGTAAAAATGCTGAAAATGCTTTAAACTGTTTACTATATGTTGGAATTAAAACTTATCTATCTGTGGATATTATTGTGGCCAGACAAAATTTACGATCTGTTATAATTCGTGTTTTAATGGATACATTAAATGGTGATAAAACTAAAGAAGGACAAATACAACAGCAACTTCAAGTTAGTATCTTTTTTTCTTCTATGTGAAACCGTATTTGTTTTATTATTGTTATTGATAATTATGTTTTTTTTATTTATTCTATTCATGACTATATAGCTGAATGATGTTGGAATATTCCATTACTAGTGTTTGGTGCACATTTGTTCATATATGTATTTATTCCTCATTTATATCATTCTTGTATTTGATTCGTAAAATTGTCATCTCTTTTCCTTCTGCAAAACCATTATAATGTGAATCTTAATCATCATCAACATGTTCTGTATATAATTTTGGGAGTTCAAATGATTCTGTTGCATTTCTAAATTTTTCACTATTTGTTCAGTCAGTTGCTCCATTTCTGTATGATTGGAAAAAAACATTCAACTATCGTAAAGTGTCTAATCATAGTATGTATTTATTGAAATGATCTATCATGCATTAACATTCCTATACGTAATTGTGTTTTGTGTGAAATAGGTGTACTGTAGATTTCCATGTAAATTCCAGGTAACATCCATCTTGTAGATTATTTGTTTTTCAGTATCCTTTTGGAAATTTACATGGGAAATTCTTGTGTCGTAAATTGCATAAGTTGTTAAGAATTTTAACCCCTGATAGCCTTTAATTAAAAATGTGATAGGTTAACTGAACATACTGAAAAAAGCAAGTGTGAGTATTCATCGAAAAGATTCCTCTATAACAATGAAAACTGCTTTTTCCGCAGTATACATGCAGTTGTACGTGTAGTCCAGCACTTTTTTATGATAATTTCACGTTTATACTATGTACTAAGAAGATAGATAGTTATGTATTTAGAAGAACATTTGATTCAGTTTATATTATTACAGCAGTCAGTTTTTATTTAGAACTTTTACATGTTGAAAAAATCCCTATTTATAGGCTTTTTACAAATTTTAGATTTTTGAGGAAAAAATGTTTGGTAACCAAGACAGACCGACAACAATGAGGGCGAGGCGTGATGCTTTTAAAAAAATCGTTGACCCTATTATTGGAGTAAGTTACTTTCTGACGCTATTATTTCATTTTTGTATGACCATTTCACAACATTTTCTTATTTCGAAATGTAAATAGAAAGCTCATTCATAATTCTTTTGTAGCGTACTTCACTTCAGCCCTCATAATATCTCATTTTTCTTATTGAGTGAATGGTCTGTATTATATTGTGTTAATACTTCTTAAAATAAATAACGAAAGTGTACTTCCATTTTTCATAAATAAGCATACCGAATCCTCTAGATTGCCCCCAAATGTCCTGGTACGCTCGATGGTGGAGATAGTCCGCTCTCTCTTGAAATGCTCTCACATGGCTACGTGTATACAGTTACTGCCAAAAAGTCCTACTCACTACCTTCTCGTGGCGGGAATGTTGTTTACGAAATCAGAACAAAAAGCGAATGCCCGGTGCTGGAAGTTGGAGTTGAAAAACCCTGATTCCAAACCAATGGTGCACACGGGCTCCAGTATCCTGAAGGAACAAATGGCTCATAAACCAATTGTTGGCTACCATGGGACTGCATCTCCTTACGTCGTTCCACTGCCTTGTGGACTAGACTTTTAGGTCAAAGACTCCGGGTGTGGCCCCCTGAGAAAACCACCTGCTTCTGTTTGGGCACCTGGACAGTATCACAGCCCACACACGAATAAAATTACTATTAATACTGGAAATACTGTTCTCTCTCTTCAATTAAAACTCAGACAACTCGCATCCATTTGATAACATTCATTTTTGTTTTTCTCTTTTATTATACTACGTCACATATTTACTCTCTTTTATTTCCACCTTGTGTATCCTTATTTTTCAACATATGCGGCAGCTCGCCTATGGTGGAAACACTGTTCTATCTCCAGTCACTGACTGGTTGGAAGTTGAGTGCTACCACCAAATACGAATACTGAAACAGTCTTTCTAAACAACCATTCAAACTGGCTTCCTTCAACGTTCGCACACTAATGCAGATCGGACAACAAATAGGGCTGGCTATGTCTTTGGAAAGTCTTAATACCTACCTCTACTCTAGTGAAGTACTACAAATTCGCTCTCCATCCGTTGCTTCGAAAAACTTGTTTCAAGTGTGTTTATCCGGAGACCCTGTGGCATCTTCGTCTGGTTTTACTGGCGTTGGTATTGCACTAAGCTCTAGAGCTGAAGTAGCACTGATCGATTGTATCCTCATTAACAATCGGTTATGTGCTGTTAGATTAGAAAGTTCCATCAACATGAGAATAAATCGGTGTGAGAAAGGATGTCTTTTCGTCATCTCCGTCCATATCCCGACAGATTGCAGCCCGTATGCTATCAAAGATGAATTTTACCACCGGTTAACAGTTCTACAGAAAGTGTGTTTGACAGATATTGTAGTACTAGCCGGAGACTTGAGTGCTCAGGTTGGGCGTCTAGGTACAGAAGAGAGTCGTGTATGTGATCGATGGGCACTTGTTGGTTGCAAGTCAGATAACGGGCACCGTCTACTGCAACTGTGCACAAACCAAAACCTGTTTCTTGTTATCACTAACTACCGGCACAGTCATCGCCGATGTGCCACCTGGCGTCCTCACTCTGCATCTCAAGCCTAGACTCAGATTGATCACATCGCGATCAGCTACCGCTGGCGTGGTTGTGTACAAGACTACCGCTACTTTTGGAGTACTTATCTGGACTCTGACCATGCTCTTGTTTGCGCCTATCTTACCTTACTTTTCAGTGGCTAACAAATTCATCGTCCTAAACGGATCTATGTCAGTAAATTAGTCGCAGCGTCTGTTGCAACTAAATATCAAACCGATCTAGGTTCAAGGCTAGCTACCGTTCCACAGAAAAATATAGATGAGCATTAGTTACAATTACACGACTCCATGAAAATCGCGAGTGAAGTTCCTTGCGGCTTCGAGGAAACGTCCCGCTTATAAGCACTGAATTTCTTCAGGCTCTGTACAACTCATTGAAGCTCGTTTGTCTACTCCAAGAGACCACGGGTTTGACCACAAACGAAGGCTGTTACGCAACGAAATTGGGCAAAGCTTGCGTAAGGACCGAGAAGCCTGATGATCGGAGCGTGCTAATTAGCTGGAAGCAGCAGCTGCATCTGGTAACTCCCGGAAGCTCTGCCAACTCATCCGAGCCCCTGGTAGCAAGAAGTCTGGTGTGAGTGAAACAATCTGTGAAGATGACGGGATGCCAATCACTAACATCTATCGACGTCTTGGACGATGGGCAGAATTCTTCGAAGGGTAGTTCAACTGGCCTGCTGCTCCGGCAACATCGATCAGATTGTCCTGCCCTCTATGGCAAGTGACGACTGCTCCACCAAATGAGGCGGAAGTCCGCCGAGAACTCCAACTCTTGTTACGCTACAAATCACCGGGCACATATGACTTACCTCCGGCTCTTTTTAAAGATGGTGGTGAATTTCTGGCTAAGGAACTGACAGTTGTTTACAAAGTTCTGGGAGCTAGAGAGTGTTCCAACAACATGGAATGAGTTGATAGTTGCCCCTATCTTTAAAAAAGGTTCACGTCGTTCCTGTAACAACTATCGGGGGATGAGTCTACTTCCGACTGAGTCCAAACTATTGGCTTCTGTCATACTTCGTAGGTTGTTCGAAACCCGAAAAAGACTGACTCGCGAGGAGCAGGCTGGTTTTCGTTCTGATCGAGGATGTATTGACCATATGTTCACCCTCCGCCAAATGTTAGAACATCGTCATACTTATCACAGATCAACAATCGTAGTGTTTCTTGACATCAGGGCTGCCTCGATTCTTTGGACATGACTGTTCTCTGAGATTGTCTATTGAAGAAGGATGTGCCTGAGAAGTTTATTAACATCTTAAAGGCCCTATATACAAACACCTCAGGCAGAGTGAGGGCATACAACTAATTTTCTCCATTGTTCTATTCAAGCAGTAGGGTTGGATAGGGTTGCTCAATCTCACCATCCTCTTCAACTTTGCTATCGATGATATTCTGGAAACAGCTCTGATGGATGTAAGTAACGGCAGTGTGAATCTGTTGCCTGGAAAAAAACTTTTTGATTTTGTGTATGCGGATGATATTGTCTTACTGTGCTATAATACCCAAGCCATGCAATCTGCACTTAACCAGTCGGCAATTAGTGTCTGAGGTATGTTATGTACTTTTCACCTTCGAAGTGCAAAGTACTATTAAAAGACTTGCAGGACCCTGATCCTGTACTCACCCTGGGTAGTGAGCAAATAGAAGTAGTTGAGAAGTTCATGTATCTGGGTAGCTGCATAAGTGCTAGTGGTTGCGTGAGTGATGAGATCGATGCATGTATAGTGAAAGCCAAAGCGGCTTATGCCATTCTGGGCCTTCGTGATGTTAGTCTGACTGTAAAAGGTAGGATCTACAACGCATCGGTGAGAGCAGTTTTGCTCTATGCTTGTGAAACCTGGCCTCTCTGAGTTGAGGATGTTAGACGACTCTCTGTGTTCGATCATCGTTGTCTCCGAAAGATTGCTGACATCCAGTGGCAACACCATATTAACAATACAGAGGTTCGGCATCGTGTGTTCGGTCACAGCGACAATAATTCGATTAGTGTCACTATCTCGAAGCATCGACTTCTGTGGTTTGGACATGTCCTACGAATGTCGTCCCAGATAATTCCACGTCGTGCATCATTTGCCGACGCTGGGACTGGTTAAAAATGTAGAGAGGTGGCCATTGTATGATATGGTGTCGTGGTATGAAAAAAAGATGTACATGACTAACTTCTGTTGATCCTTTCACAACTCCGTGGTTGGGTTTCTAGAGATGGTGCAACACAGTGGCTAGAGACGTTATTAGATATGGCTCAACAGAAGCCAGTGGCGATCCTTCTTTTACTTTCTTCATGAAAAAATGGACTTAACTTCTTGAACCGGAAGAGTTCTTTCTAGTTGTACCTTTGCTAACTGAACTGTTTCTGCCATTACTATTATTATTTCACTATCGTACACTAATTTCCGTTCGTTATTGTTCTCCTTTTTCTTATACACCCTTTATATTCTCTATCTCTTCACACTCTCATTGTTATCGTGTGGCGCATATGTATTTAGTGCCCCTTTGTACCAATATTTATGTGTTCAAATAAATAAAATAGATTGCTCGTCGTAACAGTTTATGGAACTACATTACTTAAGGAATTGGTTATTCTTAGTATTTCGAACGAGGCTACAAAAGTTAACCAACCATCTTGAATGCATACTAATAAGGTTTCTATCCAAAACTGTAGATCACGAGCAAATGTGGGCTTCACATGAATTCCTGGTTTAAATTATTCAATATTTATTTTCCTAATAATATTTATATATACTATGTATGCTTTCGAAAATATTCGTGGGATCAGATTAAGACTATCGATCAGTATAACAGTCTAAATCTAACGCAGTACAAATGGAAGTTATCTTTACCTTCATTACGTTGAAACTTGATATCATCTTTCATTAATCATTCCTCTTAATTATAACAACCCGATGTATCAACGTATATCGACATACTATTGTTACGTCGCGAAATTATTGAGTATTGAGATAGGACTAAGCGAGTTTCTACCGATTGACCAAATTCAGATATCCTAGTACGACCCCAATACTGTTTCCCCAACTCCAATAAATCAGAACACAGCCGTTAAATGAGAATTGTTTATGGGGTCCGAAGCAGATCGAAAATGATTTACAGATAATGCATATTTATACAGTTAAGATGACTATGAACAGTAACCAATGGAAAGAAAGGACAACTCAGAATTGACCAATCGGAAAACGACACGTGAAAGTCATAGTTAAGACAACTGTAAATAATGACTAATAGGAAATAACATGTGAAATATGCGGAAAGTCTGAAAACATACCACTTTACGTTCTAGATAATTTTTGGGATATTCCTGTGAATATCTTAACAATTATCCATTGAGCTGCAAAGAAAACGCGTGAAATTCAACATGATCAAATCTACAAAAAGAAATTTCCTCGACATGTGAGTCTTAAAACGCAGTTCCCAATTGTCAATCAATAAGATACCCAATTAACCCCATTTATCGATACATTAAAGGTTGTTCATGGTGGTACAAAACCAGATATGCGGTGGTGATACTCACTGCGTTTTGTCATTCCAATTTTCAAGCTGTTCCTCACCAATCCATGTCAAAGTTATCTAGTATTTAGTAATTTTCTCTATATGTCTAGCACATATCAGATTAATGGTGGCAGTTTTATTAAAAAGAATACTGTAATTTTCATTCATCATTTTCCACTTTTAGAAAATAGTCTAGGTTTTAATTGAAATTTCCACTCTATTTCAGGTTATCTGAAAACAGGAATAGTTATTCTTTTAAAATTAGGTAACATTAATCCATGTTATATGCCCTAGTGAACACCTTGTTTTCGTTTTAGGTTCCTCTGAGTCAACGTTTTCGTAATGAATTTCAAATACACAATATACCTCCTCTACACCGACCCAAGTGGATTCGTATACGTGAGAAAAGGGATACATCGCATATTGAAAACGATTTCGGTCTTACAAACTTATTTGCTAATACAACTAAATAAATTACACAAATCAGAAATTATAATTGTGTATATTTCTTATTAATGAAGTTTTTATCCCCACTTCTGTTACACTTCTAACATCAATTGTTGCTTTTGTTTTAACTGAAATTTTGTACCAAAGTTGAGAAAATAGTCGGTAGTTGGTCAGCGTTTACATTCATTACAATAACTTCTAGCTTAAGTGTCAATCATAATCATCGCGGTAACTCCGTCTATAGCCCTTCTTGGGTTAATGCCGGTAACTAGTCCTACCAAAGGAAGAAAGTTGGGCATAGGCTCAGCAACCCTATCCCATAGGGGACAACCTTGCTAAAAAAGGCTAACCAGAACAAACAATTTAAACTCTGTTCTGGGAGTTAAAGGGTCTTCATTTAGAAGAATTATGACGCCTCATGGTGAATGCTAAGATTCTTCGGAAGTCAAGAGGCCGATGCCCCTTCTAACAACCAGAGTAACAATTAATATAGGTACATGGAATGTCCGGCCAACGTGGGAGGCCGTGAGGACTGATCGAATAGCTACGGAAATGAGGAGATACAACTTGGAGGTGCTCGAATTAAGTGAAACCCACCGGACCCAAGCTGGACAGAAAAGATTAGATTTGAGAGAAACGCTGTTGTACTCTGGTCATGGATAAGAAGAAAATGCTTCGCACACACAATAAGTTGCACTGATGCTGTCGAAAGAAGCACGAAAAACACTTAAAGGATGGGAGTCACATGGATTCAGGATCATCGAAGCATTCTTCAAAACAATGAAGGAGGGGTGGTCACAATGAATGTTATCCAGTGATATGCACCTTTTAATTATAGCAACAAAGACGATAAAGATCAGTTTTAAGAGAGGCTGCATGTAGTTGTGAAGAAGTGCCCAGGGAAGAACCTGATCATCCTGATGGGATACCTAAACGCCAAAGTCGGAATGGACAACATCGAGTATGAAGATATCATGGGACTTCATGGACTGACAGGGAGGATGGTGAGGGATTTGCTAATCCATGTGCATTCGACAAGTTGGTTAAAGGCGGCACAATATTCCCCCACAAACGCGTACAGAAAGCTGCACAAGTCTCATCGAATCATACTACAGAGAACCAGGTCAACCATATTTGGATCACTAAAAAAATTCAAAAGGTCATTTCAAAATTTGAGAAGCAGGAGAGGAGCCTACATAGTTTCAGAACACCAACTGATATTAGTCAAGATGTAACAGAAGCTAAAGAAGCACTGGACAACTGGAAAAACACCATTATAAAAGTTCAATACAGCTTTCCTTCGACATACTAACAAACTCAACGAATTCACTACAACTCTCAATAATAGGTTCCAAGCCTTACAACATTTACTCAAAGAAGAAGAAACTACGATGGAGAGCAATTGGAAAGGAGTGAAAGAAGCACTAACTTCCAAGTGCCTGGATGGTGCTAGGTCACAAGAAGTACCATCATTAAGAACGGATCTCTCGAAAATCTGGACAACATCAAGAAAGAAATTAACAACAATCGAACAAGAACAGAGAAAGTAAAGACACCGACCGAATACACTGAAGCAAACAAGCAAGGAAAGAATAGCATTAAAGCTGATAAACAGAAATAGATGGAAAAACAGGCAACGACAGCGTAACAATCTGCAAGAGAAGGAAATGTGATGCAACGAGAAAACTGGCAGAGAAACATTGTGAACCAAAGTAATCAGTCAAAAACAAGGAAGAAGCCAATCACTGAGATTCAAGAACAGAGGAACAGGTGGGTGGAGCACTTTGAAGAACTCTTGAATAAACCAGCCCCACTGAACCCAACGGACATTAAAGCAGCACCTACGGACCTCCCTATAGACGTCATCCCACCAACGATCGAATAAATTAGAATGGCCATCAGACAAATCAAGAATGAGAAGGCAGCAGGACCTGATCACATCAGATGTTCGATCACCTTTAGATTCCAAACTTATATAAAGGTTTTTCTTTGGAATGGAACAACCGGATTTCTTTTCACAACTATTTTTTCATATTCTTATCTATGAAGCGGTTTGAATAGCCATTTTGCGTCACAGTTTTCTTGAGGAATGCAAGTTCGTCAATGCACTCCGTAATAGATATTCGGTTATATAAAGAGGGAATAAGAATTTTCTTTCTGCTTAAAGGAACCCAACTGTAGAAGTTGGTCAGCCGGCCATTCCATATTTGTTTTCTAAGTATGTCTTTTGTCTATATATTTCACTGTTGAAACTGAACTGGACATTGAGGGTACAACGTAACAATAGTTCTTTCAAGTGGTCAGTCGGCAGACCTAGATCTATGGTGTTAGAATCAATATACTCACATATATAGCATATCGTTTCGGTTAAACGTACACTAATGAGCAAAGAATTGACGTCAAGCGAGGAAATGTGTTTTCCAGATTTATTAACTTCCTTAACATCAATATCATACCTTCTAACTGATTCCAATTTTTCAGCCAACCATTGGACGATTCGGTAGTATGGTGAACTCGACATATCCTAATTAGGTCGTAACGGCAAACCAGGCTTATGTACTTTCGGTAATTCATATAAGCGCGGGATGATCAAACCCATTGGACGTATGTGATCATATAAGTCTGGGGCTATTATCCCCTTGTTCTTAAGATTTTTAACAACATCCGTTAGTTGTTTTTCTATTTGCGGTGTTTTGTCTACTTCTCTAGTTTTGGAAAATTTGATACCATCCCCCGGAATTAACCTCATTTTATCCAAATATTCTTGGCGATCAAGTAGTACTACATCAGCCCATTTGTTCAGGTTTTTACTTAAAATCAAATCCTTATTTTCAGGAGCATTAGCTGATGCAAATGGTTCTCAGTTAATAAGTTATTCTTACTACACTGTATATTAATGTATCCATGACTACAGTCCAATAATGTGGATTTAAAATGCTGAAGATCTTTTGGGAATGTCGTCACAAGACCATGAGTTTGATTTCATAGATTTTCGGATCGTATTTGCGTATGAAGTCTACTGGCTTTGGAGGTGCTATTACAGAGCTTGGGACCCAATGATAAGGCCTGCATTTGTATTGACGAAAGCGTAATAGAAGAGTGACTAAATACATACTTTTCCGGATGTTCTGAAAACCCGCGTATGCAAAAATCAGATATACATCGCAGTCTGTCCCTATATACTTTTTCAGACACCAGACCTGATGAAAGTTCCAAGAAAAGTTGTCCTATGGCCCACCAAATATCGTGTGACGAAATTACCCATCAGAATACCGGTCTCTATGACCTTGTCTGTGCTAAACCAATGATGCACTGACTAGCACGAGTAGTCTTCAGTCAGCTCCGAAACTCTGTATGGTAGTTACTCTCCTAATTCAGATCGTCCAGAACACAAATAACAGTCGCTATATGAATTGTATACTTCAGACATACGTGGTTTATATACAAGTAGACCAGAGACCTCACCACATCACAAAATGAAAAATAATAATTATACAAGATCAAGCCAAAAGTGGCTGTGGGTATAGGGGACTGCAACTAACAGATTAGGAATAAATTAAGAATGGTATGTCGTTTAGTAGTAGCCAACAGGTTAAATGACAGCTAGTGATAAAGGAAATATATATAATCTAGCTACTTAATTATCTAATAAAAATATATGTAGTGATAGCCCGTATATAATTCTTGGTAGTTACTATTCATTTATTCTCCGTTCAGATATAACAAAAGTAAAGTGGTCTACTGAAGTGAATAACCAATACACTTAATGTACATTTAAACGTTTTATGTTGTGCTTAGACCTATCATAATAATACAATTCAATCTCGTACTGCATACCTCGAAATTGAGTTCTTGATTGTCTTTTTAAAGTTCTAGACTTATTGGGATTAGTTCTATTTCGTTATTTCAAATTCACGTCAACACACCCAACTACTTGACTCAATATGGTCACTCTATGCGGTAATACGGACTTGACTGTCTTTCATTTAGAGTAAAATGAATACATCCTAAAGATGCTTTTATGCTTGCTCAAAATGTTTTGAAAACTGTACTATATCAGAGTTTATGCCATCTGAATACTTCAAATTGATAAGCTTGTCTCTTGGATGATTAATCTTTGGCGAAATTAAACTGGGGATAGTGTGCACCTAAGCAAATTTGGAGAAACTGGACATTTAAACGTTTCTCCAGGCCTTGGGAGAATTCTGTGTCCTGAAATTTACGAATAATTAATTTTTTTCCCGAAAGACTCACTGAAATCATGAACCGATTAATGTTAGACCACCGTTGAAAACCTGGAAGCACTTGACGGCCGTTTCATCATAGCATGGAACTCCTCGGCAGTGTAGATTCACAATCCTTCGCGCGGGATTCGAACTCATGACCCTCGGCATTTCGCGCGAACACTTAACCTCTAGTCCAGTGAGCCGGCATCCAAAGGCCTTAATGTCTAATCTCAACAAAAAGGTTTATTCTCTTTAAAATGTCTTTTTTCCTCTACCGATATTCATTTCCCACTTGTATTTCTTCTAATACGTCTACTTCACCCCACATAGTTGTCCGCTATTGAATAATATGAGCTCAAACTCTTAAAAAACCGACCCTTGTAAGATTGTTTACATCTTTTAACGTTTTGAGGACAGTATATATTGATATGTGATTTGGAGGGTGGTTTAAAGAGAATATCATTTCCTGAGCACTGGTGTCACACATGGAAGAAGAGGAAGGTTGCTAGTAAAAGGAGGAAAGATTTGAAATTAAGTAAGATCAATTTTGAACACGATGATGTTGAGTGCCGTAAGAGAAATGAGGGCAATGTCACTTTTCAGTAGTCCATAATGTGGGACGATATATCTTCTTGAGATACCTGGAAAAGAAAACAGGGGTAGTGGTAAACTTGATTAGCCGGAAGCGTGATCACAGAACCTAAAGGATAACTGTTAAAGAGTCAATTACAGACGGGCTATCAATGAGTAGTTTCTAATGTGTTAACTCTACTTTTTAAGCCTTATCATTAATTCGTGGGGCAAGGTGTTTATAGGGTAAATATTTGTTAACGCTTTCATTCCGTTGTGTGAGAAGTGTCGTGGAGGATGTTATCTATTTTTCGGAAACATTTTGCCGGCATCACACCCCATTACAGTTGGTAGTATAAATTCTTTCTCAAACTCTAGATTGCCCATCTCATCTCCATCCCTTCCTGTATCGTCAAGACAGGTAAGACTAATTGCCTCGTCAAGGTACCAACTATGGTCTGGCCTGTAAGCTGATGCCCCGAATGAGCTTAATACCTGCCTAGTAAGGGCTTGAAAACAAAACAATGATAGTTAATTATACAATCAATTATCAACATAATTATGCAAATTTTTACAATCAAGATAAGGATTGGAAAAGGATAACATAATTAGAAAAATAGCTCATAAAAATCAAAAGTCAGAAAATCTGTTTAAGCATTTTCATAGCATGAATACAAACTGTTTTGAAACAATTACTTAGGTGGTGTTAATCAAGCAAAATTGTTTTTACGTGCTGATCTACTTGAATGAATAATACTAAAAAATGTACGATGCAAAACGATGGGCATTTTGTTAAATATTTCAAAAGTTGGATGTTAAGATGGAAGTTCGACAACAGTAAAGAATTAGAGACTATATAAAAGATAAAAATAATATCCTTAGCCCGATAACAAAAACATTTCGTCCAGTGACATCAGTAAAACAGATTATGTATACTTCGTTTACTATCACAACTTCTTAAAAATGTACAATTCATTAGACAGCAGTAAAATAGGACTGTACAACAACTGACGTATTACGATGACCATGTTTTAAATTAAAAACAAACAATTCAATATACAGTCATACTGGAATCTCCAGTCAAAAAGTTATCTCATAAAGGAACTGTCAAGAGATCCAAACAAGTGTCTAGCCACAACGAGCTATTGCCGAATGTGGTTGTTCTAATTTTTCCAAATATTCAAAGTGCTTACGTGCATTGCGAATATTCAGCAAAGTTGCAGAAGAGGCTGAAAAAACCGGAAGGACATGAATTTAAAACAAACTGCGAAATATCTAACATTCGTAAAATAAAATTTATGTAAGTCATTTAGTAAGTCACTTGAAATCTAATGGGCAATACGAGACATATCTCCGATCGTTCATACCATCAAAATGCCCCCAAATGCCCTGGTACGGCCGAGAGTGGGAGAGTCACTTCTCCCTCTCGAAATACTCTCACATGGCCAGCGAATATATAGCCAGGGAAGTCCTACTCGCTGCCTTCTCGTGGCGGGGATGTTTACGAAAGTGAGAGGATGAAAAGCGAATGTCCGGCGCTTTAACCGGGTTGGTGGACATGGAGGGTCCACCTAGGGGAGTTGGAAAACCCTGATTCCAAACCAATGGTGCACATGGGCTCCAATATCCTGAGGGAACAAATGGCGTACGAATCAACCGTTGATCACCGGCTACCATGGGACTGCATCTCCTCAAGATGCTCCACTGCCTTGTGGATCAGACATTCAGGTCAAAGGCTCCGGGTGTGGCCCCCTAAGAAAACCACCTGCTTCAGTCTGGGCACCTGGGCAGTATCACAGCCCTCACACAAATCAAATGAGATTTGTGAGGCGCATATTTATCTGGTGCTTCCTTGTACCAATATTTATGTGTTTAAATAAATAAATAAATAAAATACCATCATAATAGTAACTATAATGAAATTAGGAACGCTTGTAAAAATCAGAAATGATAGACAAGTTTTTCGTACACGACCTGCAATATCAATTGGCAAAAGTGGTTACTGAGTTTTATACACTCGAAAGGTACATCTGCTTTTAGATACTAGAGTTTAATAAAGATAGCGTCAACCAACATAATTATGAGAAGTAAAGAACTGACATCATTCCGCAAAGATCTTAAACTAAGTGTCCAGATTAACAACTATATATACAATATGGGACATCGCTGCTAAAATTCTGTTACAGCTGGTAGATGTTGAACAAGAGCGTTCATCATTCCTGAGAGAAAAATGAATAAGCTTCAAAACCCATTTTTACTACTTATCTTCCACTGAATTTTTTGATGGCTGCTTAGATAAACAAAATTATTCACAGAATCCACGTTTATCAAAGTGAACCTTCTCAAGGGAAGAGTGAGATATTTTACTTTCACAAACAATAAACTGGTACATATTGTTAAGTTTATAAGCGTAAAACTTAAAAATAATGTCGCATACGATTTCAGTTCAAATTAGCAACCATACGTGATTACATACACCTGTTACCCCTCGTGGAGGAGCATAGGCCACCCACCAGCATTCTCCATCCAACTCATGAACTCTCCTTTCCAGTTGCTATTCATCCTTTTGATGTCTGCTTCCTTTTCTCGGCGTAACGTGTTCTTTGGTCCTCCTCTTTTCTGTTTCTCTTCAGGATTCAAAGTTAGCGCTTGCCTTGTGATGCAGTTTGGTGATTTCCGTAATGTATGTCCTATCCACCTCCAGCGTCTTTTCCTGATTTCCTCTTCAGTTGGAAGCTGATTTGTTCTCTCCCACAGTAGGCTGTAGCTGATGGTATCTGGTCAACGGAAATTCAGTATCTTGAGTAGACAACTGTTTAGAAATACTTGTACCTCTTTGATGATGGTTGTGGTAGTTCTCCAAATCCCAGTTCCGTACAATACAACTGTCTAGACGTCCTCATTGAAGATTCTGACTTCGATGTTGGCTGATAGTTGTTTTGATTTCCATATGTTATTCAATTGTAGGGATGCTGCTTTTGCCTCACCGATCATTGCCTTCCTTCTCCTAGTCCATGACGTCCCATGATATCTTCATACTCGATGTTGTCCATTCCGACTTTGGCGTTTAGGTATCCCATCAGGATGATCAGGTTCTTCCCTGGGCACTTCTTCACAACTACATGCAGCCTCTCTTAAAACTGATCTTTATCGTCTTTGTTGCTATAATTAAAAGGTGCATATCACTGGATAACATTCATTGTGACCACCCCTCCTTCATTGTTTTGAAGAATGCTTCGATGATCCTGAATCCATGTGACTCCCATCCTTTAAGTGTTTTTCGTGCTTCTTTCGACAGCATCAGTGCAACTTATTGTGTGTGCGAAGCATTTTCTTCTTATCCATGACCAGAGTACAACAGCGTTTCTCTCAAATCTAATCTTTTCTGTCCAGCTTGGGTCCGGTGGGTTTCACTTAATCCGAGCACCTCCAAGTTGTATCTCCTCATTTCCGTAGCTATTCGATCAGTCCTCACGGCCTCCCACGTTGGCCGGACATTCCATGTACCTATATTAATTGTTACTCTGGTTGTTAGAAGGGGCATCGGCCTCTTGACTTCCGAAGAATCTTAGCATTCACCATGAGGCGTCATAATTCTTCTAAATGAAGACCCTTTAACTCCCAGAACAGAGTTTAAATTGTTTGTTCTGGTTAGCCTTTTTTAGCAAGGTTGTCCCCTATGGGATAGGGTTGCTGAGCCTATGCCCAACCTTCTTCCTTTGGTCGAGCTTGGGACCGGCATGAATTAACAATCGCACGAAGCTGTCTTAAACTTCAAACTAAATGATTAGAGGTACAAACCCAACTGTATTCAGGCTCGTGATAGGCGTACATACCAATCTGTACTATCCTTTTTAACAGTGTCATTTATCCATAGAGAATACCAGTAGTAAAAGTGAAAAACTAAGAACTGTTTCAAACTCCGTACACTCACCGATGGATAGATCAGAACATACCACCATAATGTATGTATTCGATGTGAAAACGTCTATAAACGCAGCAAAGTGTTGGTTGCGCAGTTCAATCTTCGTGAAATTTGCTCCAACTTTACTACATGACAATTTGAATTGTTTCACAATGTTGCTTATTTTCTCAAACCTAAATTGTGAAGTTATTAGGACGAATAAACACGTAGTTCCTACCTATGAACATCAGAATGTGGAACTCTAGAATGACAAGCAATTTCCAAAAATGTTGCTCTTTCGAATAGAATCACTTCATCAGCTTCCAGTACTTCACAAAGTTGCTTTAAACTACCTTCCAACATTTTGATATTTGGAATAAGTTCATAAACAATTTTAGACCAAGCTTTAAATAATGTTTCATCCCATATTGACGTAGCAAAGCATGAACAAGTAAATGGTTTCGTAACTGCTTCGATATTTTGCTTTCTGACTTGGAATACCTATTTTATGTGTCAATGGGAGGAGAAATAAAGTTTCTTTTAAGAAATAAAAGCTAAACAGCGAAAACTGACGGATAATCATTTAGAATAGTCTAATCACTGAATGGTAATTTACAAAACGGAAGGCTCGAGATGTAGAATCTGTGAGTGGTTTCTACCATGGGCTGGCACTAGTTGGAAACTACTGAAATCCATGGGGTTGTAATTTTTGATTGCCAGAGGATCCCCACAAAAAACCTTTATGGGATCAAAGTGTTATTTCCGAGTTTTTAAGTGAATCGTTAAGTAGTCGTTACTTTAAAAACTCAAACAATCAGTAAAATATCTCAATGAGAGAGTTTATTCGATGTGTCCTTTATCCCCTGGAATTGCATTCAACTGCATATCAAACAGTTAATATACATGAAAAAGATTGATCATGTTTTCAAAAACGTTTGAACGACCCTCACATAAGGCTTATGTATAAGCTTACTAAATTTGCTGCTCCAAACAATATAGAAGGGTTGACCTAGAACTTTCTGAACGGTAGGGTAAACGAAAAGGTGAATATGGCACTGTTTATCTTGAGAGCATGATCTAGCGTCACAATCGTACGCTGTTGAAAGAGTACAACCAAACAGTCAGACAAAAAATAACAACATTGTAGAGACATACTTCATCTTTTTTTTCTTCACTGACTAGGTCTGTCTTATGAATGAGGCAAAAGATTTTCGCGCCGGGGGAATTTTGATTTACGGCATCCAAGCACGAACGGTAGTACGCCAAATCCTTTGATATTTCCCTGCTTTCAATATCGAAAACATAGATTAAGACCTCAACATTTCTGAATATTGTTTCTCTTTGGTTGACGAAATAGCTTTCCATGAATCCATCTTGACTATGGAAAATAGATAAGTAATTGACAGATTTACCCCCCGCAATCCCATAAATTCAGAACCAATCCACCTAGCAGTCGTAGGTGAGTGTGTTCTACGTCCACTAATACGAACAGTTGGTTAAACTAAATTTACACATACTTGTAGGACCGAGCCTGCGAGTATCTCGAGCAATAAAGTTTGCAAATATGATACTTCTCATACTCGTCTTGCCTGAACCGGATTTTCCCATTAACAAGACCTATGAAGTGAGCAGCATGATAACGTGCCATACTTTCTTCCTCATTCCAGGTACAAATTGAGTAACGCACTATAAAAATGTCCCACATTCGATGGCCAATCCTGAAGGTTAAGGTTCTCAAATTTATTTAGGAAGAGACAGGAGACTTTGTGACTAATTTTGATCCTAAAGATAATGTACCATCATTCAATCCAGAGTCTTCGATAAAGTTTATAGATGGAGCTGCAATAACGCATTGAAATGTCGGGTCCCGATGGGTTAAATCCACGCTTGCTGTCATCTTTTGAGGACGTTATTTCAAGACCACCCGCGATTCTCATCAACATGTCCCTTTCACTCACTCAACTCCCTAGAGAATGGAAAGATGCTATAGTCAGTCCTATATTTAAGGATGGTCAGAGACGGATCGTATCTAACTACTGTAGTGTAGTGCTTCGTTAATCGATCGTCTTGATAACCGTTATTATAACAATCTGAACGGTGTATAATATCAGAAGACAAAGGGAAGCAGCAACTACATTTTTATTGATAACTAACATGGGCTAGAAGGCAGTGAGCAAATGTAAGCAAGCGAAGGAAAGATGACGCAGAGCGGAGATGGCTGGGAAGCCAACTCGTTATAAGCAAGCATTAATCAACATTTATAGTCAGACTAAAATGAATGACAGACATGTGATAGGTAGGATAAGAAGGGTGCATACACATACGCTAATATAAAAAAATAGTCAAGGTCAATAAGCGAATAATTAACAAGATCAAAATATGACTCATAACGTTATAGGTGAATTGGCTTGTCCAGAAACTAGAATAAGCTATGTAGGTGTAATATAGTACACGACGTTACACTACTCCCCACACTACCGACCGGTCAACCTAATCAGCATAGTTGTTAAGTTACTTCAAATGGTTCAAATGGTTGAGGACGGAATAGAAGAAGCTTTCGCTTAACGGGCTTCCGTGTCTGGTAGCAGTGGATCACCAATACCTCCAGGCAAGAACCTAGGTATATGAACGATAATAGAGGGAAAAAAGAATTTGGTAAATCATAATAATATTTTATACTTAGTCCTTAAGAATAAGTCAAGTTTCCTCTTAAAGGACTCCTGGGAGGTCGCTTGGACTAGCTCAGTCGGCAGCGTATTCCAGCACTTGACAACTCTAACGGAGTAGAAGTTGTGTCTGCAGTCTGTTCTGCTATGTAGGGTCTCCAGTTTCTGGGTGTTACCTCTGAGGTTAGTGTTATGACTAAGCTTAAGAAGTTGTTTTAGGGGATGACTAGAAGTATTAAGGATACTATAAGTCATGAGAAGATCACCTCTAAGACGCCTATACTCTAACGGGTAAAGGTTAAGTGATTTGAGGCGCTCTTCATAAGGTTTGAATTTGAGACCCCGAACTGATTTCGTGATTCGACGTTGTATACGTTCCAGAGTGTCCTTATCCTTTTGGAGGGAGGGAGGAAATACTATGTTTCCGTACTCTAAGTGGGGACGAATAAAACTGTTGAAGATTATGTGGAAGGTTCTACCGTCAAACTGGCCAAAAATGCGCTTCAATGTTACCAGTGCAAGGTTTGCTTGAGAGGCGTTTTTGTCACAGTTCGCATACGATTTCAGGTCGTAGGGTACCAACACTCCTAAATCTTTTTCAACTTGGGAAACTTCTAGAGGTGAGTTACCTAAGTTATAACTATAGTCTGCAACATGTCTCAGATGGACTACCTTGCACTTTGAAGTGTTGAAGGTAAGTCCGTTATCGTCTGCCCAACTTTGAAGTCGAGTCAGATCCTCCTGAAGAACTAGTATATCTTTGTGATTACGTATCTCTCTCCAAAGTTTCACATCATCAGCAAAAAGCAATAAATCAGATGAAACTTGTTGAGGAAGATCGTTAATATAAATCAAGAAGAGAAGAGGTCCTAGTATTGAACCCTGGGGGACCCCACTAGGACATTCCATAGCCTGAGAGAGAGTGAAGTTAACCCTGACCTTAAAATGTCGGTTTTCTAGGTATGAAGAGAGCCAATCAATTAAAGGGGGTTTTATACCCAATCGTCCAAGCTTCTTGATAAGACATATGGTTGACCCTATCAAAAGCTTTTGAGAAGTCCGGGTAGATGACGTCAACCTTCCCCTTGCGATCAAGGATGGTTGTCCATCTATCCAGCGCAGTCAGCAGGTTGGTCATACAAGAATGACCTTTTCTGAAACCATGCTGTTGAGGTGAGAAGAACTTTGAGGATGATAAGTGTTCTAGTATGCCGTCGACTACTAGGGATTCCATAATTTTTGAAGGTATGGAGAGAAGGGCCACTGGTCGGTAGCTTGAGGGTTCACTGCGTCGACCTCCTTTGAAAATTGGTGTGATGTGGGCCAGCTTCCATATTTCCGGTAGTTTGCCTCTGCTTAGCGAGTGTGCAAACATCACGCTAAGTGGTGTCGCCAGGATTGAAGCTGCTTCCCTCAATACAGCGGAATGAAAAGATAATGCGAGCTCAGTTGCTAAGTCACATAGATTCGCACAATCTGTTAACACCTGAGCAACATAGGTTTCATAACAAACATTCATGCTTCACTAACTTACTTATTGCGAGAGAGGATTGGACAGCAGCCTTACATAACGGACTATCTGTCGATATTCATAGATTTTAGCAAAACGTTTGACAAGGTTTCACACTTATTTATTATGCAGAAGCTCTAGAGCTTCAAAATAACAGGAGCTATACAGAAATGGATAGGACTCTCCTTATGTGACTGCAGACAGAGTGAGGTTCAATGGAACGCTATCCGAATGGAAGCCGGTCAGAAGTGATGTGTCCCAAGGCACCATCTTAGGCCCTTTACTCTTCCTTCTCTATGTTAATGAACTGCCGCTATTGCTTAAGCCGTCGACATTATTGTTTGCGGATGATGTCAAAATCTAGAGAGGAATAAGAGGTGAGGTTGATCTATTTCATCTGCAAACTGACCTAGACGAATTAGTTAGGTTGGCTCGTGGTTGATGCCTAGGAGTGAATTCTAGGGAGAGTGTGCTCATGCACATCGGACACGTTAATAGTTACCATTATACGACTGATGGTACATCTCTTCTATGCGTCCAATAACATACAGACTTGGGAGTAATAATAAGTCGTGACTTGAGAACAACTATGCACTGCTACTTAGCTTATTGCAAAGGTTATCGAGCGTTATGTTCACTTCGCCGAGCATTCAAATGCTTTGAAAAGAAGATGTCTCAAACTTTATATCCCACCTACGTAAGACCACACTTAGGGTACTGTATCTAAGCAGTTAGCCCATGTCTGATAAAAGATACTAACTTACTTGAGAGTGTTCATCGTGTGGGGACGAAATTAGTGAACGGTCATTCTAAACTCCCGTACGATGAGCGTTCAAAACGCTTAAACCTTTCCCTTTTGTTGTATCGCAGGATGCTTTGTGACCTTATACTGGCATTTCGCATCTTTAATTATGATTTGGATGTTAACATGTCTTATCATTTTGCTCTCTGCAGTGCTAATAATCTCCGAGGTCATGGCAAGAAGGTTCACAAACCGCGATATAATAAACTAAAGGTGGGGTCCCGTTTTTCTCATCGAGTGGTCACTGACTGAAACGTCTTATCCGAACAAGTTATATCAGCTTCATCAGTGAACATTTTCAAGGAGAATCTGGATCTTTACTGGAAGGCAATCTGTCAGGATTAACACAGGTTCTCCAACCTGTCGCGCATTTACATTTCTACGAAGAGATGAATGAATAAAAAATGTTTCTTTCTTGGTTATTATCATCGTGACTCTACCCCAATATATTTTGGGTCATTTATCATTTTGTGTTAGCAACTGTTAGCAACGAAAAGGCTCTAATAGGACGCTTCCTCTTGGACAGGACTCATCAACAGCACACATACGACATCGGCAACCGGAAGCCATGCTCAGAATTTTCGGTCTGAAGTGCAGACGTTTAACCCCAAGATCTCTGGCCGGCATCTAATGGTGAGCAAGTTTAAATGCAGTCAGTATGCAACACTGAGCGAACATTGATTGCCTTCAGTGGATACCTTCCTTACACCCGATAAGGTTGAACTACACTGGTCACAGCTTCGCACTAGAAGTTGGGTGATTTACTTTTGAATAGATGATAACTCCCAATGCGTTGTGAAAATTGGTGAATTTTATCGGGATTACTTAGGTTGGATTGCGACCCAAATGATATTTTACAGCTTCCACAACCTAAAACTGATGACTAATACAAATGTTTATCAATAATAATTTTATCTGTACTAGTGGAATGGTGGTTTATGAAAATACGACTGAGTGACTAATTAAATAAACAATCGTCGAGATGAATTCAATAATTAATACTCAGGCACAATAGTTAGTGAGTTGAAAAACTGGAATATGTGGTTAAAAGCTGTATAAATCGAGAAAATGGAACTGATAACATCTTGGTAAGAAATTGAATACTTTTGTGAGTTACGTAACCACAGGCAGAATGTTAAAGTTGTTCAGCAGCATAAACAGGCCCTGAAGATTTCGTGGGAAATCATTGGTAAAAATGGGCTTTTCAGTAAGAATAACAACTCACACTCATTTACATTATTACCGCGACTAAGGTAAAGTAAATGGTTTTAACAGTTTCCGAAAAGAAAAATTAGACATTTTGAGGTAGATGGCAGTGGCATTATATATGTGTAGAAGGTAATAGCTAATTAAGAAAATGCACATAAACAGGCAAAATCCAGGATGTCTGTCTTTATTTCCGGTTCCAACTTCTCGTCTATCGCAGACTACATCAGTTCACTCAGTCCCAGTGAATGTTCAGCGTTCCATTCTCAACTGAAACGAATGGGACCGCGGTTGAGCACTGCTGAGAATTCCAGTACTGGGGTAAAAGGCCATCTACTATGTTCAGGCTTTCATTAGTGGTCTATTATGGATAAACTCCTGAATTCAACCATTGAAATTGCTACACTCTCCACAAATTCCTATTGCATAAACTAAGTTATTTGTGAAGATGTCACTTCGAAATGATCAGGTGGAGAATTCCGTCGTACTATAGATAAAGTGGTTTATGTTTAGTAATAAAAACTTGCATTT